TGAAGTCAAGCAGAGATAGCTAGCATTTTTACTACTGCTATATGGAACTAGAAACATTATTTGGCCTTTCTGAGTCTGTTTTCCTCTTCTACTGAATGACAATAAATATACAGTTTCATAGTATGATGAAATTAAATAAAGTAATGCATGTAAAAGGTTACATAGTACCTGGTGAGAAGAGGGGTGCAATGGTGCGATAGTTTTTTACTATTTCTTAGAAGTATTTGCATCATACATTAGCCTTTAGAAGCATTATAGAATAATAGTTAAGAGCCTGCACTTTGCAGCCACTTTTCCTTTATGCAAATGCCAGCTTTGTTTCATTATCTGGTATCTGTGACAATGTGAAAATTACTTAATCTCTCTATTTCTATGTTTCCACATTTGTAAAATAAGGATGATGACAATAGTTTTATATTATAAAAATGTTCTGAGAATTATTTAGTGAATAAGAGCACTTTGCAAGCAATTTTAAATTTTCAACAAATATTAATATTATTGTGCCACTAGTACATATGAAGTAGATGCCAATTTTTGTTTTTCACCAAAGTTCCCCTAAATGCAAGCCATAGAAAGAATGGTGTTCTGTTCAGACCAGATGAATACAGCCACAGAAGGAAAAGCTTCAATCTTGAATCTGCAACTTAAAAACTGTGAGGTCTTTCAATTGCCTCTCATCCTTATCTCAGATTCCTTGCTGCAAAATGAAAGATTTGGACCTATAGGTCTCTAACAGATCTAGTTATCAATACCCTTTGTAAATCCCATAATATGGGTGCTAATAAATGTTCAAGTATATGGAAAGTAGTGATTGAAACAGGAAAAGAGTGTATGCAATGGTAATAGATTTTTTATTATACATTCTGTGGCAGGCAGTATGGTATGAATTTTGCATATATTATCTAAATATTGCCCAGAAATTTAAAATGTCATTGAATATTATCATTGTATTTTCAGAATTAAACTGTAGTAGGACTTTAATAGTTTTCTCCAAACAAATATGTAATAAATAAGGAATTTAACATTTTCTTTGTCAAAACAGAAGATCTCTTTTTCGTGATATCTTCTAGGCTGAATACACATTATTCAGTTCTGAGAAAAGTTGTAATGATTTAAGGAGTATATACATTTTCTCTTGCTAGTGCAATAAATTACCACAAAGTTAGTGGTTCCAAACAACTCAAATTTATTATCTGACAGCTGTGTAGCTCAGAAGTTCTGAGTTCTATAATTCTCTGACATGAGTCTCAATGGGCAGAAGTGAAGGCATTGGCAGAGCTGCATTTCTTTCTAGAGGCTCTAGAGGGGAATCTGTTTTCCCCACCTCTTGAAATATCCAGAATGCTCCCGGCATCCCTTAACTCATGGCCTTGCCTGTGCCTGCAAATCAGCAACACTGCATCTATGTCCATCCTTCCATAGTCAGATTTGCTTCTCAGCGCCACAGCCAGGAAAGGTTTTTTGACTTTTAAGAACCCAAGTCAGTAGACAGGACCTATGCAGAAACTCCAGGATAATCTCGAATCTCAAGACCCTATCTTTAATCATATCCACAAAGTCCCTTTTGCCCTGCCGAGTAACATATTAACAGATTCCAGGCATTAGGACATGGGAATCTTTGATCACTGTACTTTTCCTCCTCAAAGAACTAAAACCAACACCAAAAGCAGAATCCACAACAGGAATCATTCATACAAAATGAAATGTTTTTCTATAAAAGACATTAGAAAGAGAATTAAAAGATAAGTTGTAGTCTAGGAGAAAATGTGGGAAAATGACATATCTAACAAATAACATATACATAGAATATTTAAAGAATTCTCAAAATTTAATCATAAGAAAATAAAGAAGCAAATTAAAATATATAGTTAAATTTAAAAAAAATTGCACAAATATTAACCAAAGAAGAAACATGGGTGACATATATTAAAAATGCTAGACATAAGTTAATCACTAAGTTAATGCAAGTTTGATTCAAAATAGCATGCCATTTTACACTATGAGAATGGCTATACCCACAACATAGCAGTAGTAATGATAATATTTATAATAAAATTATCTTATTGTATAATAATTATCATCTTTAAAATAGGCAATACCAACAGTTAGGGATGATGAGAAGCACCTCAATCTCTGATTTAATGCTGGTGGGAATAAAAAATGTTACAAGAAATGTGGAAAACAGATTGGCAGTTTCTTATAAAGTTAAACATATACTTGCCATATGATCTCAACTCTGGCTTCTATATATTTATTTACTTTAGGGAAATGAAAACATTTTTTACAAGAATCTACATGAAAATTTCTATAGCAAACATCTCTCAGTGAAAATGAAGATAAACTATGATATATTTGTACAATCAAATACTATTTAGAATGAAAAGGATTAATCTACTAACACATAAAAAGCACAGATGAATCTCAAGTACATTAAGTTAAGTGAAAGTCTCAGATGCTATTGTTATATTGTGTGTAACATTATTTAAATGGCATTTTTAAAAGGCAAAACTCTTGGGGAGTAGATGGCATCAGTAATTGCCAAGGGTTTGGGAGGGAAAAGGAACTGACTATAAGGAGAAATAACAGGGATATTTTCAGAGTATATGCTATTCTATTTTCTGATTATTATGGTACTTACATAAATATAAAAAAATCACAGAATTGTTTATTAAACATAGGTTATTTTATTATATTCAAATTTAAGTAAATTTTCAAAATGAGAAAGAGCAGATTAGCATGATAGAATTTATATACCCATTGCAATATCTCATCACATATTAGAAAAGACATTAAAAAGAAAAGGAATGACTCTACTGCCTGAGTACAAATCAATTAAATCACTATGGAAACATCTTATTTGACATTGTATGCTTTATATATACCAAATGATTCTTGTGTATATATCTGAAAGAAACACACATATTGGGTTCATAAAAATGAGTGAAGAAACTTTATAGCAGCATTATTAATGATAGCTCCTAATTGGTATCAGCCTAAATGTTCATCAGTAATACAGTGGTTAAAATAATTGTGGAGCTCTCACGTTCTAAAATGTTATGCAGTAACAATGAACAATCTACCTGCAGCAACTTGCAAATTTTCACAAACAATATTTAGTGAAAAAAATACATTTTGAAAACTGTATTTTCTAAAGATGACACTTGTAGTTCAGATCTTGAATGTCCTCCAAAGGCTCATGTATTGAAGGGTTGGCCTCCAATGAAGCTATGCTCAGAGGTGGGACTTTTGGGAAGCTATTGGAACATGAAGGCTCTGACCTCATCAATGGATTAATCCACTAATGGATTCATCATTGAATGGACGATTGGGAGGTGGTGGAAACTGTGGGAGGTGAAGCCTTGTTGGAGGAAGTAGGTCATTAGGGATTGGAAGAAATAAGTCACTGCAAGTGTGCCCTGGAAGGGTATATTTAGTCCCCAGCTCTTTCCCACTTTCTCTCCCTTTTTGCTTCCTGGCTGCCTGAGCAGACTCCTCTATCACACACTGCCAGTGTTCTGCTTCACCTCAGACCCATAGCAATGGAGCCAGTTGATTAAAGTCTCTGAAACCATGAGTTGACTTCTCTTTCTCAGATATATTTTGAGTTCTCTTTCTCAGATACATTTTCACAATGACAGAAAGCTAACTCAATGACTGTGATGATATCTTGCCTGCCTTCCACCAACTACCCAACTGTATTCAGGCAATTCTTCAATAAGCAAGTCACCATTTTATAATTTTTACTTTACTGTTATTAGTTTTCTTTTGCCCCTTCAAGATAATATTTCTTTGTATAATAGCAGATGAAATCTCACCTTCCAAGCATCTTGATTTTCAATCTTTGTAACTTGCTTCAGTCTTATGAATTCCAAGACTATATGATAAATTTTCATTGTTTATAGCTACTACATTTGTAATAAAAAATCTTAGAGGTGATAAACATAAATGAAGGATTGAGAATGCTTGCCTAGCATGCCTAAGGGCTCTAACCCTTAGTTTAATACCCAGAAGTGGGGAAAAAAAAGTCTCATCAACAATTATAGAAATGCAAAGACAAAAAAAGTAAAATAGTGCTGATTAAGTAGCACACAAAAAATTTAAAGAATGTATTGTATTCATTATTGTAAAGGAGGGTATAATTTGGGCTCGCTCAAATGCTACTGGTATATGTATCAATTATTTAGATAATTTTAGTATAATACATCAAATTTAAAAATTCAGATACTAAATGACCAGAATTTTATCAAATAATCCTATTTCTAGAAAAGTATTTTAAGGAGTTCTGAAATTCAAACCAAAGATATCCAACATTATATTTTTGTAAGAATGAATAAACTGAAACATACCAAATATGCTTTTACAGGTTATAAAACTTATATTAAATGACAATTTTGCAAGCATTAACAAAACTAAGGTCTTAACATACACTTCCATCAAAATAACTCCAAAATGTATATTTGCAACAAGAAAAAGTATTCCAAGAATATAAACACAGCATATTACTTAGCATATAACTAAATATTACAGAACATAATACTTAAATACAATATAACCATATAAATATGTGTATGCAGACACATAGTAAAATAATTTAAATCATAAGCACAAAACTTAATTTTTAATTAATTGAAGTAGAATATATAAATATATATGTATATATGTGCATATCTATACACATATGTATATAAATACATATATATATATATATATATATACACACACACACACATATATACCTTTATTCTTCAATACAAACTTACTCATGTTTATCTTATCCAATTCAAACATGATTCTTTATAAGGAAAATTAAATATAAATGTGTGGCAAACTGCTAGACATATGTAAAATTTAAGTTGTGACAAAACATACAGAAGTGTAAGAAAAACAAAAAGGAATAACAAATAGCATCTACATAATGAGCTTGTAACTCTGAAATGCACATATAATGGCTAGATGAAACCATTCAGCCTGTGCTTGTTTCAGTAGCACACATTAAATTGAGATAATACAGAGACGATTAGCAAATTGAGATAATACAGAGACGATTAGCATGGTCCCCATGCAAAGATGACACACAAATTAACAAAGCATTCCACATTTTTACCAGGAATTCTAGCCAGAGCAATTAGACAAAGGAAGGAAATAAAAAGGATAAAAATAGGAAAGGAAGAAGTCAGATTATCACTGTTTGAAGATGATATGATACTATATTTAGTAGATTCAAAAAGCTCCACCAGAAGGCTATTAGAGCTAATAAACTCAGCTAAGTAGCTGGATACAAAATGAAGATAGAAAAGTCATTAGCTTTCCTATACATTAATAATGAATCTTCTGAGAAAGAAATCAGGAAAATAGTCCCAGGAATAAATCTAACCAAGGAGGTAACAGACCTCTACAATGAGAACTTTAAAACATAGAAGAAATCGAAGACATCAAGAGGGTGGGAAGACCTCTCACGTTCTTGGACAAGCAGAATTAATATTGTTAAAATGGCCATATAACTAAAAGCAACATACAGATTCAATGCAATTCCCATCAGAACACCAGTGATATTCTTTATAAAACTAGGAAAAAAAAAAAAAAAACAGCCCTAACATTCATTTGTAAGAATAAAAGACCCAGAATAGCCAAAGCATTTCTAAGCCCAGAAAACAATTCAGTAGGCATCACAACACTGGATTTCAAACTATATTACAGAGCTATAGTAACAAAAACTGCATAGTACTGGCATAAAAACAGACACATAGACCAAGGGAAGAGAACAGGATACACAATGAAAACCCACACTATACTGTCATCTGATCCTTGATAATGGTGCTGAAAACATACAGTGAATGAAAAACAGCCTTCTTAACAAGTGGTCCTGGGAGAACTGATTATCCATATGTAGATGAATGAGATTAGATCCTTATCTCTCATCCTCTACAAAGGTCAACTCAAAATGGATCAAAGACCTTGGAATAAGGAAAATGCAACTCCTAGTAGACAAGGTAGAGTCAACACTCAAAAATATAGGTGAAGGCAAAGTTTGGGTTGGAATGTCAGATAAGTGCAGGTAGGACTAATACAACATATGGGAAGGAATTTATCTAGAAGAAATTAAGACTGAGATGTGCAATTTATGTTCTAGAAACATGGATTTATATCACCTTATCATCATTTAAAATAAACCCCTACATTCCTTCCCTTCCAGTTCCCATGAATTTACACCTCTGTCTTAGGAGAAAAGCTTATAACAACTGTTGTAGAAAACAAAATTACTCCTTAATCTTAAAAACAAAAAAACAAGACAGAATGGCTGAGTATGACTTTGGCATGACAGCTGCGCAGAGAGAAGTGTAGCCATTGTTACAAAAGAATACCCTGCATTTTATTGCAGGGGCAGAGGAGCCTAGCCCCCTCTGAATGCAGGGAACTCTATAAACTACAAGGAGCAGAAGGTAGGTACATGCTGTGCCGTCACTCATCCTCTGGCATAGAGCATGAGAAAAGTGCCAGCTGTGAATTGCATAATCAGCAGAACCGCAATCATGGATACATTTGATGGGGCCCAGAATCCGGCTAGAAAAAAAAAAAAAAAAAGAAGAAATGTTATTTTAAATGATTGAGTGGCAAATAGAACAGGAGGAAAGAGATGGCTTAGCAACACAACATGGGACTAAAATTCGATTTTAACTTTATATTTAAATAATAGGCAATCATCTGTCTCCTTAAACATTCACCACATCTCTTAAATGCATAAGAGGTGATGTGGTGGATGCTATAATACACTACCTAGTTACCACATCCAGAATGTATTCTCTGACTACCTAGAGTGATGCAGAATGCACCTCCCAGATGACAATCCTTTCAGGGAATTGCTTCAGCTAAAGAAAACTACCCTGAATAAGGTCATGAGCAGCCTATATTTAGGAATATTTATTGCAAGTGAAGAAAGAAAGAGGGGGGGAAGGAAGGAAAGAAAAGAAAAGAAAATAGAAATTAATAAATGAATAAGAAAGCTATCTTCAGCAGAACTACTCTTCAAAAATGAAGGGTAAGCCATGGTATTGCTAGATAAACAAAGCTGACAGAATTTATTACTAGTCTTAAAAAAATGCTAAATGTGATCTTTACAGAGACTTTCAGGAATCCATTAGATAGCATTAGGATTTTTCAATAAAATAGATCAATTCCTAAAAGATACAATCTACAAAATTGATGCAAGAAGAAATGCAAAATCAAATTCACACAAATAAATTAAAACAAAGAAAATACTTCATATAATGAAAAGCCTAGTTCTGAAGGACACCCCTGATGAACTCTACTAACCATTTAAAGAAGAATCAACAACTACTCTTCAAAAGCTCTTACAAAAACTAAAAGAAGAAAGAATACTTTCCGACTCATATTTTGAAGCTATTATTACCATAATCATTTCTTTTCTAGGGTTTTATTTTTCATGGTTTTAGTCATCGACTGTCAACCATGTCCTGAAAATATTAAATGGAAAATTTCAGAAACAAAAAATTTATATATTCTAAATAACTTTCTATTGTAGTATATTGTTTTAATTTTTATCATAACATTAGTTATCGTTGTTCATTACTGTGTCTAATGTATAAATTAAACTTTATCATGGGTATGTATGTATAGGAAAAGACAGCATAAATAAAGTTCTATGCAACAGATTTCAGGCATCCACTAGGTTTTAGAATGTAATCCCTGGAGATATAGGGGAGATATTCAGCTCTGATATCAATACCAGACAATGATATAGTAAGAAAAAAAATATTGTTTTGCTTTACAGATCAAAAATTTTCTACAAAACACTACAACAACACCAGCACCATATAAAAGGAATATAAAAGGAATTACACACTGTGAACAAGGATAATTTGTTTTAGGAAAGTAACATTGGTTCAATATGCTAAAGTTGATCAATAAAAGGGGCTGGGTGCGGCACATACTTGGAATCCCAGGTACTTGGGAAGGTGAGACCGGGGGACTGCTTAAGCCCAGGAATTCAAGGCTAGCCTGAACAACATATGAAGGCCCTGTCTCAAAAAGAAATAATAATTAATCAACTTAATAAATGATAATAGAACCAAGGAGAATAAAATGATTATTGTCGTGGAAGCAGAATTGCCATTTGACAAAATGCAATACCATCTCACGGTTTGAAAGAACAAAATCAAAACCAAACTAGGAATAGAGAAGAAAATTATCAACCTTAAAAAGAGCATCTACAAAAAACAAACAAGCAAAACTCTCAGGCAACAGAATATTTGGTAGTAAAAGGTTAAATATTGCCCAAGATCAGAAACAACCCATGGATGTCTACTCTCATATAATATATCATTAAATATATCTCAAATGATCTTGGCACCCTTATTAAAAATCAACTGGTTGGTGGTACATGACTGTAATCCCAGTGGCTCCTCATATCATATACAAAATTATCTCAAAATAAATCAAAAATCAACATGTCAAAAACAAACTATAGAATATTTAAAAGACAGCATATGGGTAAATACTATTTAACTTGAGTTAGGCAGTGGTTTCTTACACCACAAGTAAGAAAAAAATAGACAAATTGAGAAATTTTATGCATAAAAATGCATTATAAGGAAATTGAAAAAAATGATCCACAGAAAACGAAAATACTTGCAAATTTTATATCTAACAAAAGTATAGAGTCTTAAATATAGAAAGAACTCTAAAAATTCAACAGCAATGACAAAAAATACAACCCAGGCAAGCATGATGGTGCATTCCTGTCATTTCATCTACTCAGGAGACGCAAGAGACCCACAAATGTGAGGCCAGGCTGGGCAAAACTTTCAAAAAAAAAAAAAAAAGAAAAGGGGATATAACTGAACATGACTATGTAGGAAATACTTGCCTAACGTATAACATGCACAAGTCTCTAGCATAAAGAATATAAAACTTAACAAATTGATAATTTCAATAAATATTTTTCCTAAAGAGATATACTGATGGCCAACAAACATGAAAAGAATTATTATTATTAGGCCAACAAACATGAAAAGAATTATTATTTAATGAATTATTATTCATTAAAGAAATGGAATTCAAAATCACAATGCAACAATTTCAAATGCATTAAGGTGGTTATCACTTTTTATAAAAGGAGGACTAAATATTGGGGAAGATGTGGAAATATTGAACTTCTCACAATTGACAGCAGAAATCTAAAATGTGTAGTATTGTGAAAGATAAGGTGCGAGTTTCTCAGAAGGTTAAGCATAGATTTACTATATGAGAAAAAAATGCCTGCCCTAAATATATATTCAAGAGAACTGAAAATATATATTTATCCCAAAATTCATATATGAATATTAGTAAGTAATATGAGACATAATAGACACAGCTCAAATATCTACCAAATAAAGAATGAGGAAGCAAGTGAGGAATATCTATACAATAGAATTTTTTACTCACAAGAGGAAATTATGTACTGATTTGTGCTACAACATAGATTAATCTTGAAAACATACTGAAAGAATCTAGTTTCAGCTGGGCATGGTGGCACATGCCTGTAATCCTAGCAGCTCTGGAAGCTGAGGTAGAAGGATTGTGAGTTTAAAGCCAGCCTCAGCAACTTAGCAAGGCCTTAAGCAACTCAGTGAGACCCTGTCTCTAAATAAAATACAAAAAAGAGCTAAGGATATGGCTCAATGGTTAAGTGCTCCTGAGTTTAATTTCTGGTCTCCCCATACCCCCCCAAAAAAGAATCTAGTTTCAAAAGATCACTTATATTATTCCATTTGTATGGTATGTCCGGAGTACGCAAATCAATACAGACAAGAAGTCGATTAGTAGTTGCCAGGGAATGGGAGTGACAGCTGATGGATACTTTCCGCATGGCGAAAATTTTCTATAGTTCTATAGTTGTGATGTGTACATAGCTTTGTTCATATACTAAAAACCATTGAATTATGTTCTTAAAATGGTGAATTTAATGATATGAACTGTATTTCCACTGAAAAAAGAAAATGAAGTAATGTTTATGAAATAAAGAAATAATATGGAATGTGGACTTCTGTGACATGTGGATTTCTTTTGAACTATGGTAGCAAATTTGTAAGAATTTTAGCAT